CTTAGGTTTCCTATGGTTTCCACGTCGTCTTCTGATCACAAGCAAACACGCGCTTTGGTTTGAAGCTGCAGTCTCGACATGCCCAAGAACGAAGTTGCTGTCAACAAACTGTGCAAACGTTGGATCAGGATCACATCTTTCCAGCCTGCCGGTCTCTGGCATGGTTGAGACGCGCTTCTTCGATGCACCTGACACTGAAGGTTCGGCTACTGTTTAACTCCCTGTGTTCTCTCCTGATTTGATCTGCAACACATGATCTCAACTTAAACAAAAGCCTTGCACCGTCATGATTGTCAGATTCTGTTGTTTCATGTAGGTGTGGACGCAGTGTGTAGCTGCAAGAATCTGTTGCACTGATGCCCCATCCTGCTTGAGGTGGGTTGCGGCGGACCGGAGGGATGTCAACTGGCCACAGCACGCTGAAACATGTACTGCATGAAGCTCGTCGAGTTACATATTTCATCATATTTCCGCATTCTCCTGGAGTGCATTTCTCTACTTCGCTTGGGAAACCACAGTAACTATCCCTCTATCGATTCGCTGTCAAAGGAAGCCTGACTGATTTGAAATCTTCCAAAGGACAAGGTATTCTACAAACACACAATAAGACCGGCACGTTGATATCCTGTGGTTCAATATTGAGTCAACACTTCCTTTACTCTGTGATTATACATTTCAGCAGGTCTGTATTTCTTACGTGTTTGCAAATGGGGCAGTCGAATGTATGGCCAGTTGAACTTTGCACCTGTTTGTAGGTTTTGGCTTTCGGGCATGTAACAACAGTACAGTGCTTCAGCCTGAATTGTGTTCACGGAGTGTTGCCCCTTCTACTGCGAGGGCGAGGAGGGAGCAAATGTGGGCAAGCTTTTTAGTTGTCAGTACCGCCCTCATCAAAAGTCAGCTACATTTGACAGATTTGTTCCCTCCATCACACCAACTAAAACTATATATATTATAATCTAGAAACGTGCGCTTTCAAAACTGTGTATGGCTTATGGCTTCCCGCAGTCCGACAATACAACAACAGTAACACGACATAAAGAGCACACACATATTTTGTCGGTTCATAACAGTAGCGCCAGATTTCGGAATCCGATCTCATCTTATCCTCTCAAAAAAGAAGCTTTACTTTGATAGCTCGTGACTCTTGACTCTGCTTTGGGATGTGCTGGACCCCGACCAATGCTATTGATCAAGAAAACGATTTACGTCAGTGCGCACAAAGCCTCTGTTGATCACGTTTCAGTGCATCTTGGCTGCAATCGCTCAGCCGTAGAGAACCCAAACACCCAAACCAAACACAAGTGAACAAAACTATAGTGATGTGGCTATTGCCAAGGACCCAAACAGGAAGGAAAGCAGCACCCCGCCTTCAGGGCGATGGTCCTCCTTGAAAAGCATATGCCAAGAGTTTGCCAGGAGTCATGAAAAATAGTGTCCGAGCCCGACCGGACCGGCTCCAAGAAAACCCTGAGTGACAGCACATCGATCTTGTGAACATCACCAACTGACACGTTCAGAAAATACTTAAATTCGCTTTGCCGGCTTATCCTGTTTGTCTATCTTCCTTTGGATCCTGCGACTGCAAAGCTAGGTGGTTTGACGTTTAAAAGGCTGACGGCTTGTGTCCTCAACACTGGCCATTGAGCTAAAGAGGTCATTGAAGTTGTTCTGCCAGCGATTAGAATCGGATGTGAAAAACATGGGTTGAGGATTGGAATCACGCCGAGTGCAACGTTGACAAAAACATATCGTGAGCCCCAACCGCAAAGTCGAAACATGGACTTCCCGAGAGCCAAAATAAATGCACGTGGGAGTGCCATGAGGTGAAAAGCGATGAGGCAAGCAAATGCGGGGTGAATGATCGACTGGATACGGAAAAAGGGTTGAATGACAAAAATGAGACAATAGGTGCACCGGTCGGTCGGATGACTAAATCTAATAGCTTCTTGTTACTAGAAGCGAGGCACTTGTACTGTTACTATTGAATGACAAAAATGTTTGCACAAAAGTAGGGTGGCTCAGGTTACCCCTTCGCTGCAGGCAAGTTGGCATAAACCTTCGACCCTGCCAAGTGTTTCTGCAAGTAGGCAAAACGGTAAAGCAAGCTGAGTTTATAGATGATAGGTGTTTGACGGTCCTGTATAGGAGTCTGATATGGTATTCCCGATGTGACAATGTGTGTGTGTGTTTGTGCGCGTTCGTGCGCGGTTGACAGCGCATTTAGACTTCACACCTGCCTACATCCGACCCTTTTGCGTGGGTGGTGTTTTCTTCTTCCTGTTGTTCGCTGTGGTTTTGGGGGGTGGTCTCACCAACCCAAGTGAGAACCTCTTCTGTCACGAATTGCCTCAGTACGAATCCAATGATGTTAGTGCCAATACAAGTGAGCATCTAAGCAATCAACTGGCAGAAAACTATCCACCAAACGTCCTCTGATGCCACCACAAGCAATCATGCATGCGTTTAATCTGCGTGACAAGCACATCTCCTGTTGGTGGCATTGCGCTTGAAACACGAATGTCTACATCCCCACCGTCAAGTGTTTGCGACTTTCCCTAGCATTGACCTACTCTCGCCTTTGTGGCAGGCACAGAAGAGAACACGGCCGAGTCAAAATCCTCTTCCTCGGTATTGAAAGTGATGTTTGAGATGGAAATAGGCCGCTCCCAGCATCGTTCAAAGTCTGTATATATATATATATATATAGAGAGAAATACCATCAACCTCCATCAACCTCCTCTTGCTGTCTTGCACCATGCCACCCCATAGTCTGTCTCAGATCGTGAGTTCACTGAGTTCGGCAAGCTGACAGCACCACCTGAGCGCGATGGATGGTGTTGAGGCAACTCCTTTCACAGACTCCTCAATTGCACCGATTCAAGTGTATTTAAGATCTGAGATTCATGCAAGACTCCGAAATATTCCAAACAGCTTCCTTTTGCACCATGCTGGCAGCGTAACAGCAGAACGGCATCATATACTGTAATATACTGTAATCATATTTACTACAGCAGTCTGAAACACGGCAACGTCCTGGTGATACGAGTGGCAGTGATGTCATGATTGTTATGCTGGCATGTACTGTAGTTTGTTTTCTTTTTTGTGTCACTTTGTAGCAATCCTCAGTGATCATTGCAAATGATGATGTGTTCGGCTTTCCATGGCAAACCAAGCTGAACTTGGCTAACGTGGCCGCTGCTGGCAACCAGCAAACCATCCATAGATCCAGCTCACCACTATCAGGTTAAGCTCGAGTTCCTCCTCTTCTCATTGCCAACCACACTGTGTTCTGGGTGACAAGTTTTGCCCAACAGCGCAGCATAGGGGTCTTCAACCATATAGTGAAAATTCAGTGCAGATCGGAGCAGGCCCCGCCGCAGCAGGTTCGAAAGCAAGTTTTCGAGCAAGTTCCGAAGCAGGTCCCGGAGAAGGAGCAAGTTCCTCCGGAGCAAGTTTCGGAGCCGAGCAAGTTGTTGGGGAGGAGGTGCCAGAGTGCGTTCCGGATGAGGTTGCAGAGGTTCCGAGGAAGTTCCGGAGCCACTTCCGGAGCAGTTTGCAAAGACGTTGTGTCTCTCTGACGCGCGGAGGGGTTGCCCAGCCCATACGTTGATATGATTCATGTTGTCACGCTGATATGCTTGTGGCATTTGTGTGGCGTCACACTGACAGGTTGCTTGGTCATGCTGCCGCGCTGGCAGACTCCAAAGCTGGTTCCGGAGCAGGTTTGCTTGCACTTGCTGTAGTGCCGTTGTCATGCTTGCATATGTGGGCACATGCATGGTATGTGTTATGCGTGACGTGTTGCCGTGTTGATGCGCGTGTGGCACATTGAAAGGGTTCACACTTTGAAGACATCATTGACTGGCAAAGACACGACACTTGTTGGTGAACTTGCGATGGTGCAATTATGCCTAGTAGGCAGAGTTTGATGCCCAGCTGTTGGGTGTTTTGCTGGGTCTTATGAGTGTTCGAATTACTGTATTCATATCAGTTTTTATGTTCAATCAACCAGTCGTGTACTTTAGCTAGCAATGTCTAAATGTGACAACGGTGCTTTTTGTTGTTTGAAAGCTGTTATCCTGAACGATGCCTACACAAAGGCCACGCAAAGGCTACGCGGAGGCTACACAAGCTGCACGGTAGCCTACGCAAAGACAGTTTACTCGATTTTGCCAAGAAGCTCTTCAAAGAGCTGCGTGTGTAGTGGCGGCCCCCAAAGCTGGGGCGCATTGTGCATGGGGGGCAGGAGCGGCAAACAGCTGCAAAGCCAAAATTCTGCAGATGCAGGAAGCTACAACAGGACAAAGCTGGCCAAGTACATCCTGTGTCGCTATGCCTTTTCAATGTTAGTTACGCTGCTGGCCTTACAAGGATACAGAAGTTTTGTTTGCCATCATTTCACTGACAAGAACTCTGCTTTCGTCTTGCACACTTTTGCCAAACTCGCATGTCAATCGCAAGCTTTAGTTTAGACTAAAACTGGAACATCACCATCCCATGATGGCCTGGCCAACATGCCAGCTTCAGGTCCAAGCTGGACATTTATGGCTCTGATTGATCAGAACAGCATTAAAACACACTATGGAATGCATGTTGATCGAAGGCGCTTGAACAATGATGTAATGCATGTCGAATGCAAGGAGATCGGAAAAAATCTTGGGATTTATCAAGGTCTTTTTGGTTCAGCCATATTTGATTCTGCAGTGTTCAATGAGTGTATTCAAATTATGCACTCTTCATCGCTGTTCAAGCTTCTGCATCTGGATAATATTCATTAATGGCCCATGAATCCATGGCACTGAACATCGTGAAGCAACTGGTCACAAACGGCTCAAGCCCAGGAACCAGCTAGGAACAATTAAGCACAGCTTCCACAGCCTTTTAGTATCGATTTCTCCAAAACGCTGAAGCGACATGCAGCAGCTTCCCCAACTTGGCTGAACTGAACGTTCTTTTGGAAAATACAAATCTTTGCTCTATGTTATTATTACAGTGTTGGTATAAACACTCTGCTGATCTCAGCTGAACTGCTCAAAACTTACGAATTATAGGCTCTGCACACCTGGCGGTTTTTGGAGCTCAAATGTTGATGGTCGGATGGCAAGAACTCTCATTCTGAAGAAATCCCGTTGCGGAAACGAAAACCAGATGATTCCAGCCTCAGACTGTTCTGGCTCAAAGCAAAAGAATAGCATTGAGGTTTTATGAAGTTAGCTGAGGCACAATTGTGTGAGGAACTGATGTTTCGTGATTTTGTCTCCTTCGGCATCTTCAGCGATCAAATTGAACCTGGCGTTCTCAGCAAAAAACATCCATTACACACAAATCACTTCTCTGAAAAAGGTTGCTGCCAAACAACGATCCAAGTGCCATATTGAGAGTTGCAAGAGATTGCAAAAGAACCATGCAAAATCGGCAAACGAATTGTGTGTGCGGTGTGAGCAAGAAGTTCTGTGAACAATCCGCACCTGTCCAACAGGTCCAAAATCTATTGGATTTTATAATTTCGATGTGTGTTTGTGGGTTGCTTCTGCAAGACTTGCAACTCTGAAATTTGAGGCCATGGCATAAAGTCGCACATGTCTGCTGGCAAAGCCCTGCCCGACATGCAACAAATTTGGTAATTGGAATGCCTTTACATTCTCTGGACTCTAAATTGCCAGAAACTACTGTACCTGCGCTCCAACCCGTGCAACCAATTGTACGGATGCTGAAGGTATTGAAGCATTTGATGTTCCTAGTAGCTTCTTGCTCCTAGTAGTAAGGCCAGGAGCCCCAGAAGCGTCCTTGCTCCTAATAGCGATGCCCTTTGTTCCTAGTAGCTTCTTGCTCCTAGGATCAAATGCAAATTTATTGCAAAAACACATCGATTCTGCCCACACAACACATGCCCACAAGGCCCACAAGTATAACCTCTCTCTCTCTCTCTGACCCTCGCACTATATTGCTCAGGATGCTGTCTGCTATCATTTGCATCTCTAGCACCTTACGACACTGCACACACCAATGCAAATTATTCTGCCTAAATGTTGCCTCTCCAAAGAATCACATATCCCCGCACCCCGTAGTACTTCGTTCGCTTAACAGCTGGCTTTCGTAATGAAACCCGTCAGGGTTTGGTCCAAAGACTACAAGTACCCAGTACTTGCTAAACATGCTTCATCGCCTGCTCTGCTTAAGGTGCATGCAGTTCAAATAGCCCAGATGGCTCTTGTCCAACGTCTCCCATGCGGTGTTCCACTCGTTCCAGACTTCGTCAGGCACCTCATCTTCATGTGACCACCCCACACCCCCAGAAACCTGCGCCGAAATCTCAGGACATCTTCCCCAAGCTTCTGTCATCCCTGAATGCTTGAAGTTGACCAGGTTTCAAAGCTGCTTTCAAACTCAACACCAGACCTGCTTTCGAATGAAATCTTTGGCCCGGCGGCCAGGTGATGCCTTCCCTTCCTGGGCCGCAGCACCCATCTCATCTGTTGAGAATCGAAGGTGTTGAATAGTCACGAAGAATTCGATTTTTTGTTGTTAATGTTCTATATATAATATATATACACACACATAAGCTCGTTCGAGATCGAACATCAACATCGAAGTACCTCAAAACGTGCTGGAACCCCCAGCAAGATCCTACTGTTACTATTCGCATTGAAGATATTGAAGCAAAGTTGCAAAGAAGGCTTCTTTTTGAGCTACAAGCTCTTCTTCTTTGCTCACCTAGCTCGTGGCACACAAACGTTGATTCCCGGTTGATACTCCAGTTTTCTTCGAGGAAACAAACAAGTTTGATGTTCAAAACCACCTGGGCGGAAAGGAGCACGTCGAAAATGTTGTCCTTCGATCCACTGGACAACTGGACAAATCCAACAAGCATGAGCACAGAATCCTCAAAATATTTCATGCACATTTTCACCCAGCATGTTTGTGCCAACAACGTGGTAGCTTTATGTATATAATTAGTTTTGTCATGTTTTGTCCAACTCTACTATCTTAGAAAATTTCAGGATAAAAAATTAGATGCAACACGTCTGCGCGTTGGTCAAACATCTCAGAACCAAGCCTACAAACAAACAACGCTTGGACTATCTTGGACTACTACCCGGCCGACATCCTTGACATCTGACGGCATGCGGTATCCAGGAGGGCACATAGCAGCCTGTGGCATGGCAGAAAAAAAAACATAGTTGGAGCAAGTGAGCTCGGTGTTCTGCTGTTATCTTGCTCGGTATTTAAATGTCCGGAGTTTTCCGATTTCCGATTCGCGCCCGGGTCTCTGCTCTAGAGTGCGGCGCCTCGCACCTGAATTCTGAATTATTGGTGGGCTCCTCTATGATAGTCGGGTCCAAAGGTCTGTTGACCTGTCAGGAGATGGCTATGAAGTTCCTTCAGCCATTCCCGGGCCTCGTCGACTTCAATGCGAGGAGCATCAGCTCTGTCGAACCACCATTGTTTAAACAACAGAGCCAAAAATTGCAAAAGGCGGAGGGGTATGCCTTTAAATGGCTAGTCCTCCATTCTGTACAACCAGTGGCTCATCAGGCTCTTCATGCTCTGGTGGATGCAATCGAAGTCGTCGAGCAGGTGGAAGTGCTGTTCCTCCATCAAGCGAGCCATTGGGGTCCTCTCAACCACAGTCACTGCTCGCTTGGACTTGTGGAGAACAGTGCTGCATGCTGTCACATTGGACCTCATGCTACGCTCCAACTCAGAGGCAGAGGCAAACTCAGAGGTCAAGCCACATAGAAGCAAGTGGTTGGCTTCCTGCTCGAAGCCCCATGGTATCCCTGTTCCACATGCAAGAGACTGAGCATGCCAGTAGCGAGCATCCTCTTCATAACTGCCAGATCCCAAATCGAAGGAGCATTTGCTCTGTTCTGCGGTCTTCGTGGGTGCTCTAACACTCCGAATCCATTCTTGCATGCTTGAGAAAGCATAGCCTCCAGGGCAAAGCCTAAAAGCAGAGACCCAGTCTCAACTTGGGCATTTTCATTTGCCCTGAGGTCCCAAAGTCCCCAGGGATGCATCCGTGATCTGAGTGGTCGTGGTCCGCCTGAACCAGGGTCATGCTCTCGTGCAACAGACCATGTCTCACACGGTTGACCGACTAGCAATCCTGCTATGTGTCCGGCACGGATCCAAGAAAGGGGTTTCTGTTGCTGTGCTTTGGACGAAGATCACACTTGGATTCGGAAATGACAATGTCAATCGATGCAACTTCAATGGGGACATCAATGTCCTCTTGCACCTTTTCAAGCCACCACTGCAGGTCATACATCCTGCGATGTCCACTAAAGAAGTGTAAAAGAGCGCAACCCGAGGCCTGAACATGGAGACACGAACACTAGGCGGTCCAACAAGCACCTGGAGTCGGTCCTGTTCATTGGGGATTGGCTCATGGTCTTCAGGTGTTGAGATCAAGTGTTTACCTCGATCGATCAACCAGCTGGCTACTTGCTCAAGCACCTGCAAGAGACAAAGATCGGTAGAATTTGCTAATGACCTGGCCCAATTCGAAAAAGCCGAATGGATCGAAGAGAATGGCATAACCACTGTGCATGTATCCTGAATTTTCTCAGCCATTCTTCGAACAAAACTGCAGCTTCCTACAGGTTCCAAGTCATGCTTGATTAGGTAATCAAGATCTCGTGTCAAGGCTTCGATATCCCGGTCAAAGCAGATCTCGGCATGTGCTTGACCTTCATCTATATAAGTCCACGGCATCTGTGAGTGAGGTTGTTCTGCGTCTGACTCTGGCAAGTCACGCTTGTGGAGCCACATGTATGCCCTGCAGGGTCCGCTATGCGCGAGGTGAAGCTTCAACCTGAGCGAACTCTTGTACTTCTTGCTGCAACAAGGGCATGTTCTCCCTTGCGCTGCCTCACCCTGCATGGACACATACCCATGTTTCTGGAAGGCATGACAAAACCATGCACGCATACTGACGAATCCTTTATCACACAATCGACAAGCATGTATGGTCGTAGTCATGAATCCCATGTGCAGTCAGCCCATGAATCCCCTGGTCGGCTCCCCTTGGTGGTCCTGACACACCTTCTACCATCAAACGAAAACCAGGTATCGGATAGGCTTTCTTTGAGTAGAGAAGCCTGGAGGTCAGTGGCTCCGAGCCTAGAGAATTCAGGATCACCCTGCGGTGTCTGTATCAAGGTTTCTCTAACTTCGGGCCCTAGACTGAAGTGGTTCGTCATGTGCTGAATGTGTTCGGTCCAAGGACGATCTGTCCCCCCCCCCCGCAGCAAGCTCTCTCAACACGGTGTAGAAGGCACAAGACTTCTGGTTCTGTTTAAGCCAGGCAATAAAATGCCTGACCACCTGGGCGCCGAACAAGACGCTCTGGCGTGGCTTGCCTCCTAGCTGGCCTTGTGGGCTCTGACGAACATAAGGTGCGTTAATGAAAGCTCTCATCGACGCCCGAATTGCCTTGCCCAAAGTAGACATCAGCAAAATTGAGCGAAAATTGGCGCATACATCATGTGCACCTTTGCCTTTGAAGAGGGCCACCGTGCACCCTCCTTTCCATTGGATAGGCTCTTCGCTGCGGATAGCCATCTTCAGGAGTAGAGGATAGCACAAAGTAGCTAACTCTGCTGGGGCAGCTTTCATCAATTCTGCCGGCAAGCGGTCTGGGCCAGCAGCTCTCCTTGGTCTCACCTTCTGGAATCCCAGCTCGAGGTTCTGCAGAGTTGGAAGCTCCCAGAATTACTTCAATTCAGGCCATGCTTGGCTACCTTGTCTACAAAGAGACTCACGGACTAAATGTCCGGAGTATACAAGTCAAAAACATGTTTTGCCAAGAAAACATCAGCTGACACGACCAACCATGTTTGAAGCCAAACGTACTTGGCAAAGCTTCAACATATTTTGTTTGTTATGGTACCAGCAAGAATGCAATCCTTGATCCTGCTACAGAGTGGAAGTGAAAACTCTCTCTCTCTCTTTCTCTCTCTGCAACATCTAGCTGCTGAGGTAACCAAATGTCCGAATCAGCAAGATGTGCGATGCAAGAGCGAGCTTCAGACTATGTTGGACAGTTCCGGCTTCTCTGACAGGATGCATCTAGCTTCTCTTGTAAATGCAGTACTGAGTATTATATAGCATTATATATATATGCTTTACGAATATCATACACACTTACAAAAATGTTTTCTATATTTCAATTTAAATGTTCAAGGGGCAATGTACTCTTCAAGGTCCACAAAGCCATCACCTCCAAAAGAACAAACTAAATGATCAGCTGGATCACAGGCGACACTGGAAGCTAAGGCATGGCTGAGGCTTCACTTCACAAAAAGTTGTTTGTGTACCATGTGCTCACACCTGTTTGCTTTCACTGGACTCTGCGTGCAAAGCATCAATTCCTTCAAGATAACTTCACTCAGGGTGGAGCCGTTGACGTCAAAGTATCGCATCATCGATTTGGCAGTGCATCGTTCCACTTCCTGCATCGTTGGCTCGATCGGAAGACTCCAAACAAACAGGTGCTTTGTTGAAGATGGTGAAAGACAAACATCTTGCAGTTCTGATCTCATGTAATTACAGGTGTGAAGAACTCGCTAGAATAGAAAGGTAGCCAAGGAACCATGCATACTTGGAGATCCACAGTCGTGACGCGCCCGCAATCAGACCTTTCAAGAGCAACATTTTCAGCATAAACATGCATGCTTGAATAATATGCATCACAACGAGCAAGTCGGAGAAGGCCAATGTCATGAAGCTCAAAATCCGATGCCGAACATGACCGGGTTTCCTTTCATTCGTCATGTGACCTTTTGACCTCCCTGCCCGGTACTGGACCCCTCAGACTCTCAAATCACAGCTGTTCAACTTCTGCAGTGTTGGCAGTATACTGATCAATTTGACTTCCTCTCCCAGATAGGCCTGTCGACCACATTAAAACCTAGGCTGTTGGACAAAGACAAAGACTTTCGCAGCTGGAATATGTCAAATGTACGATATGTAAAATATTGTACAATATTGTATAATTGTATACCGACCTACATATCAAACAAGCATTGCACAACACAGTCGGCAACACCTCAGACCCCGCAAATGTTTTGTTTTTTTTCTGGCATCTAAAATGATCCAAACAACGAATGATGACTTAGCCCGGGCTCCTGACCAAAATGACATGAACAATTGTAAGGATGGTGAAGACACCTCCTCTTGTTGGTGAAGCAAAGCAACTAGTCTTGAGCTCGTTCCTCATGCGCTCGCTAAGCATTGGCTGGGAGCGATATTCTTTGAATCTTGCAGACATTTGTCTCGTCCTCAAAACAGTTGATGTGTACAGTGTGTACAGCGTAGACCAACTGACAGACCACTCACGTCATATGTACACTTATGTACACTGTATAATATATATATATATCAAAGTCCAAATTATATTATATACCTGCCCTTTGCATCTGTTAGTCTCAAATGCAACAACGCAAGTCGAAACAAATCCCTGACAAGTACGATAGCTTCCAGGTGGGTGTTCAAGTGAATCTGAACACAGTCGACGAGTTGACGGAAAGGGGTGTGCGGCTGCTCTGCAAAGTATTGCAAAGTGTCCTTTCTAGACAGGCCTTCTGTTCCTGAAGCTTGTCAAATTCCTGGAAGGCGCCGGCTTGTGATCAGTTTCGCACTCTCTTTCTTAGCAAGGGTAAATGAACAAACAAAGCACGACTGAGCCTCTTAGAAGCTTATGACATTTGCCGGTTGAAAACAAAGTCGTTGAGAGGTTTGTCTGGACAAACCGTTCTATCCAGGAAAAAAGGAAACCTCCAAAACTCGAAGCTTTGGAGTCCTGGAGCCAGCAATCGAACATGTGCAAGTGAGTGTTGGTGGCTTTCGGACCTGAACATGAGTGCCTACATTCGCAGTCTCCTCTGTATGTGGCACTGACTAGTGAGTCGCACTTTCCGCTGGCTTGATTGTTGGGGCATGGGCACTCAACGCAATGTGCTTGCTGCAAAACAGCAACACAATATCCAACATGTGTTACAAGGATCACAAGTATCCCACTCAAACCTTTATCTTGCACATTGCACAGCATTGAGAAACGGAGTATATCAAGGACATTGATTGAAATCACTGTGACTTCTGAAGGGTAGCGAGGATATGACCCCCAAAATCAACTTGCTTTGTCCCACACTCGTATGATCAACATAGATTGTAAATCAATAAGATCGTGCTTTCTGAAGGAACATGTCTTTCAAGGATGAGCGAGAACCAGCAACCTTCTTCTTGCCGACTCAAGGAGCATAACTTCTTTAGAAAAGTTTTGAAGTCAAAGCGAGCCTTGGCTGTAATGGAGTCGGCGGACGGGGACGGGGCAGCTCAAACAAAATCTGCCCTTCCTCTCCACGCAATGCAAAGGCTTTTGAGTCGACCTTCTTGGGTTCACCATTTCGTGTTCAGAAGTTGAACGACTTGGTTGTACCCACTGACAAAGGTGCGTATATAATATATATATATGTGTAAATGTACTTGCGGCGTTATAATATATATAGGCTTCAGCACCCCTTTTACATCCGCAACCTGTGATGGCGCTCA